TCGTAAATTTTTTCTATCAAGGTTGCGATTTTGCAGTTTTCCGTTTTATTCRTATTTGACAAGGAGTGTCGTAAAAACAAACCCAAACCAACGATCTAAGATATGCGTTATAATACAGATTGATGAGAACTGATAGAAAAACAAAAAGATGTCGCATAAAAAATGACTAACGGATTTGAATATCCGTTTTATATGTCAAAGCATGAGCGTATACAGCCTTTTGCAAAAATTATGAGAATTGTCTAAATATCTAAATATCATAATATCCATATCCATATATTGTCCGGAACACGCGGGTTTGCTAGAATAATTCATTGTTGACATCGAGAAAATGTTCAGAACTACGGATAAGTCCGTCGCCAAAAAAAACTAGACAACAAAGACAAGGGACTAAGGGCATCGCGCGGGATCATGCACTTGATATTATGATATTTATAGATTTCAACAATTCTCATAATTTTTGCAAAAGGCTGTATCAGTCACAATACTAGCAGCTCAATATAACAACTTAAGCTTCAAGAGAATGCCATGAGAAAAAAAGAGCTCCGTCCCATGAGGGTCGAACGCGAACCGTGAAACGGCTGAAGAATTAGCCGTGAGTCGTAAAAATGAGAAAAAAATTAGCCATGAGGCGTGAAAAAGCCACATTTTTAGCCGTGAGTCGTGATGCGGACCCCCCCGCCCAGCCATGATCTTGACGCTTTTTCCCAATGTTCGATAGTTGTAGGAATAATGATAATTTTAAAACACAATATTACATCGAAACGATTTTATAGCAATGAAAGAACCGTGGATAATAAAGCAACAAAAAATACCTTATAAGTTTAGAAATATATATCATTATACAGCTGTTTGCAATAATTCTGACCCCCTCTGCCATATTTCATATATATCAAACTGACCTTTAATATTATGGGATATCATGACTGATATATTTTTTTCAGCTGTACAGCTGTTTGCAATAATTCTGACCCCCCTACACTAATATTCATATATATCAAAATAGACTTAGAAATTATGGGATACCATTGCTGATATTTTTTTTAGAAAGTTCTCATTCTGGACAACTCAGAAAATATATCAGTCATGATATCCCATAATATTTAAGGTCAGTTTGATATATATGAAATATGGCAGAGGGGGTCAGAATTATTGCAAACAGCTGTATAATGATATATATTTCTAAACTTATAAGGTATTTTTTGTTGCTTTATTATCCACGGTTCTTTCATTGCTATAAAATCGTTTCGATGTAATATTGTGTTTTAAAATTATCATTATTCCTACAACTATCGAACATATATCATTATCATATATCATTATATCGCGGGTGCATCACGGGTAAAATTGTGTGAGTTTCTTTCTTTTCTTGCTAAAAACATATAATCATTCGAATACTTTGAAATTATCTTTATTAACGATTTTTCAAGCATAAGTTGTTGTTTTATAATAAATTAAGGGTTTAAATTTGAAATATAAACGACCCTACTGTCTTGTTCCTGAAGCCCGACAAAAGGGGAGACTGCGGAGGAGACTACGACCCTATATACTGATTATATCAGGATAAACAAAATATTACATGGTCGCTTGGAGATACGAATTTTATCTTCTCGTGTTAAAAATTGCTACGCTCATTCGTGAGAGATCTTTTCAACACTTCAGAAGATAAAATCCGTATCTCCATATAGAAATAAATGGCAATGCATTCACCTTCCACATTTGCCGTCCTCAAAAGAGCTGGTAAAATCACACAGGTATTTTAGATTTGACCGAAAGTGTCCTTGGTATGAGTCAGTATGGAGAACAGAGGTTTTCCGTACTTTGATATCGTGTGGAGATCAATTGTTTTCAGTCCCAATGGGAGATGGGGATGACTTATTCTATAACGTGTCGCAGCTGGGTGAAATGATGACAAGATGATGGCCATTGTTATTTACGATGAGTGAAGTCCTTTTCAAATAAGTGACTTTTCCTCCTTGAGCTCACTTATAATGTACAATATCAGACTGTTGGTCTCAAGGACGTCCACACGCAAATGTTCCAAATGAACAAAGGCACTGGAAAGTGTTTTATATGGGCATAGTTAATATTAACTATATATGATATGGGCTGGAAAGATCCCTGCGTAAACGTCATATTGGGTGAAATTTTTATCGTCTCCCCCCATATGCTAATGGTGTCTCAAAAGACCTTTTCGCTTATAAGTTACGTCATCGCCGCCATGTTGGATGAAAATCACAAAGCATTCCCCATTAGTTTCTCCTGTTCATTCATCCAACATGGCGGCGATAGCTTTGTTCGTTATTTCTCACGGGTTTTTTGGTGACGTAGTTGCACACCAAGAATAATCATACAAGAAAACAGTTAACATAGCAGTTCCTGTGAGTTTGAAGTGCCTTGTGGAACGGAATCATAAAGAAATCATTACATCATTGCTCCTACTACAACTATTCATTGCTTTCATCCCAAGGCTCTTACACTCTTGACGAATATCTGTAAACCTCGTCAAATAAATAATTGGATTCAAGCTGGAATTAGCTCCAAATATAATCGAGCTTATCATCATAGAACTAACTGTATTCCTAGTTTGTTGACCACGGTAAAAGGCAATCATGGAAATTGCTGCAGGTATACTACAAACAAGAAGACATCCCAATATGGCGGCCATTGTTTTCAAAGTTTTTCTGTATTTWAAAGCATCAAAGTTTCCATGTAACGAATCCTGTTGTTGGGTGTGGACTTGTAATGTGTAACGATGAAGCGTTRTGTATGAAAGAAGGTAGAACGTGCAAGTAGATATCAATAAAACAACGGCTGGAATTATTGCTAAGGAATTTCTTACTGAAGTGTAYCTTTGAAACTGGTTCATCCCAATGAGGATACATAACACAAAAAGCCATCCAGCTATTATAAGAAAACTAACTCGCTTTTTCGTGACGTGAATTCTATATCGGTGTCTTAGACTCAGCGCTAGRTATCTGTCGAWGCTGATRAAAGCGTTCATAACAAGAGATGCTCCTACAAGRAAAAAACTAACATTTGAAGATAGTGACCARTTTATTTCGCAGATTCCTTGGAAGTTCCTCACCAAATAGAAAACATTCCCAAAAACTAAACTAGGATGAAAAAGTAGTCCAATCAGAAGATCTGTGAACGCCAAACTTGTTATCAGTAGGTAAGACGGTGTTTGGAGGTTCTGGGATCTCAAGATGGTGACGATGATCAATCCATTTCCAAGCGTTGCAAAAATTCCTAAAACTACGTTGAAGAAGCTGCTGGCAACAAGCAAGGGTTGGAAATACTCAAAATGGCCGATTACTATAGCTGCATATGGACCAAGACAAGAGAAACTTTGATTCATCTTCGRTTGTAGTGTAATATATTTTAAAATGAGCAATCTTAATCTTTCCAAATGCTGGATCCCACTTCAAATTGTGTCACTGGGTTTCGTTAAAGATGAAATAAAACGCTTTTAAATGTTGTTATTTGAGACTGTTTGTTCTAGTGAGTTTCACTTCTCAAAGCTGTCAAACCGTCTCTTCGCTCATATTTGTATAAGCGACAATGACATCTGGCTTGTAGTTATTTAACGTGGGGGATATCTCACATGATCAACGAACGCATGCCATGCACAAAATCAATCAAATCCAAAACAATATATGTATATCAACTTTATATAAGATCCAATCTATTGTTGATACTGTTCTGCCACGACTGTCTGCGGGAAAGAAATCATGTTCGGCTTTCAATTTTCTTTTAATTGAAATTTAACATAAAATTAAATGAAAATTTAAATGAAAACTCGTTTTGAAATTGAAAAAAATATTGCATTGCTATTTACTACACCTGTGTCAGTAAGTTATTTCATCTAGTGCTTTTTTACGGTGTTAAATTTATCTTTTTACACAATTATTTCTTTAGAAACACCGACGCAGCTTACACTAGTTTACCGCTAATTCCCACCATTCATTACACCGCAAAAACGTTGCTCTTTTTGAAAATGGGGAAAAATATAAAGTCCATAGCTTTGGTGGACTTTGGTGAAAATTAGTAAATACTGTTAACTAGGAAATGCACTACTAATTCTTACTTAAGCCAAGACATACCAAAGCGAATGATATGGTCAATATTTCTCTTTTTCGAATCAGGAAATGTTCATACACTTACATTCAGACGACTCAATTTGTTGATATTAGTGGATCCACTAATTATGTAAGTTAGACTTATTTTAATACTGGGAATTGTTTTTTAATGTATTTGAAAACAGGCGTACATCAAATTTTAATTAAAGCGTTTCATATGAAGTCCATTAAATTACAACTGTAACTCAGACTGTCAATACTTCATTAGTCTCCTCGCAGCCGTTCTTAGTGTCGGGATCCCTGTCCCCCGCCCCACAAACCCTGTGGGGCGGGGGACAGGGAGCCCGCCACTAAGAACGGCTTCGAGGAGACTAATATTTCATGGGCGCGCGGACATACGGAATTTATTTTCAAGTGTTGAAATTATCTCTAACAAGTAAGCGTAGCGAAATAGAAACCTCGAATGTGTTATTTTCACTAGTGAAGACTATATTAGTGGCGAAAATCATTATTTTCTTTACTAAGTGGGCGCGCAAGACGTGATTGTGTCAGCACAGAGTGCATGTCTTCTTATGGACAAACTCACTTATCAGCCAATCAGCRAAAATTTTTAATCTTTTTTGGGGGGAATTTTCAAAATCAAGTGTATTAAAAATCTGTTTTTTAACACATTTGTATAAATTCTCCCGCTTTTTTTTTAAATGAGGACATGCAACTCATGCAAAACCGTGTGCAATTTGTTGAATAGCGTGACATAAATTGAAACGATATTGACACTTTTACACGCCAATTTAAACAATTTTAAACCRTGTTTTTTAATTACACACTTTAGTTTTTATAATGTCATGACAACTCCGTGACTCCCTCTTTGAGTTCCCGGAAGTGATTTTCAACATCACATGATTTTCCCGAAGCAGATCTAGTCGATTGATACGATTAAATCACAAAATGGAGTTATTTCTTGAGGATCTAAAGCTTCAAGTCCAGTGTTCTCTGTGTAATGAGACAATGGTTGAACCCAAGTTATTACAATGCTTTCATACATTCTGTAAGACTTGTATCAAGACGAATGCACAACTTGATGGTCAAGTCAACATCTTCAAGTGTCCTCAGTGTGACTCATCAACCGAGCTCAAAGAACTCAACGACGTGGAAGACTTAGAGATAAGTCCCATACACTTAAGAATCGTACAAGTCTTGTCATTTGTTGAAAACCAGAAGGTTTGCTCAGTTTCTGCCAGCCATAGTGATGCATTGTGGCAATGTCTCGACTGTGATCGCTCGCTGTGTGACGAATGTCGGCGATATCATACTGAATTCACTAAAGATCACAAAGTTGTTTCATTGTCTGAGATGACGAAGGAAGACATTGAAGTTATGCTGAATAAGGAAAGTCCTTGCAAAACACACGCAGATCAAGATGTTAAATTGTTTTGTCAAGACTGCGACGAGCTGATATGTCTCCTTTGCTTTTTTAATCACCATCATAACCACAAGATGACACCATTAAAGGAGTTCATCACTGCCAATAAAGACCTTCTCTCTAAAAACCTTCAAGAAATCGAAAAAATGGATACTGACCAGAAAGAAAAGGAACAGCAAGAACAAATTGCACTCGAAATCAAACGCCATGGAGACAAAGCTGAAAAACAAGTTAAGAAACTAACCAAAAAACTTGTTGAAAGATTGAATGATAACGAGAATAAACTTTTGAATAAAATACGGAAGAGCAAAACAAAGGCAGACAGAAATTTACGCATAATACGTCACACTCCGGCAGCACAAGAGTACATCAAATACTTTATACAAAATGGAACAGCAAGTGAAATCATTGACCTCCGGTCAGACGCTGAATGTTTGAAAACGTTCACCTACGACGCATTTGAAAAAGACTTTGGCGGGATTAAATTTCAACCTAATGAACAACTTTGTGAACAAGTGGATACTGGTGTAGGACGTATGCGATCATTCAAAAGAGCGGATCCAAATAAATCTTCAATAACCGTCGAGGAACAAAAATTTGAAGCCATGAAAAAAGTAACATTGAAAGTGACATTTCAAACTTATAAAGGTGAACTTTGTGACCCCCCACTTGATGATGTAACAATACATATCACCCCTGAAGACAACGTCAAAGAACGAGAAAAGCAAGTGATAGGTGACGGCCAGATCAAAGTGACTTTTGCTCCTCTTGTTCCTGGTCGGTTGACAGCAGAGTTTCAAGTACATGGAAATCCTATATCCAACAGTCCACTAGTGATGGATGTCAAACCACAACACATCAAAAAAGTGATTGAATTTTCAAATCTGAAAAATGCCTTGAATACAGGATCAAAGGAATTTACAGGTATTGCAGTAAATATACCCAACACTAAAATTGCTGTAGCAGACTGTGAGGAACACTGTGTCAGAGTTTTCAACATGGATGGGGATTTGCTACTGTCATATGGTAGTGAAGGCAGTGGACTAGAGCAGTTAAAGAATCCGCAAGGTTTAGCATTCCTTGACGAAACAGATTTAGTCATAGCTGATTATAATAATAATAGAATATGTATAGTGGACACAACGTCTGGTAGGCTTGTTAGAACCTTTGGTTGTCAAGGCAACATGGATGGGCAGTTCAAAGAACCAGTGGGAGTACATGTTGATGATGATTCTAACATCATTGTGTGTGATCATGACAATCATCGCGTCCAAGTGTTCACAAAGAATGGTTGCTATCTATATCAGTTTACAATACCAGGAGAAGACAAACCATATGATGTAGTTAAACACAATGGACTGTTCTACGTCAGTGCTGGATCAGTGGTACATGTGATTGAGGTGAATGACAACCAGTCACAAACTACAGTGAACACTATTGGTGGGGAGGACTACACAAATGGTCAGCTACATTCCCCTACTGGTCTAGCTATTGACAATGACAACAACCTTCTGGTGGGTGATTGTGAATCAAATCAAGTCTACAAGTTTACATTGGATGGTAGTTATGTTGGAAAGACAAAGTTCAATTATTCCCCTTGCTTCATACATGTAGCAGTTCTGAATGATGGACAGATTATTTGTGACACATATGGTCGAGAGGGTGTACATTTTCTTAGCTTTGAACATGTTGTTTAGTTGTTAATAATCGTGTGTCAATTTTTCAGAATGTAGCTAAATACATTTGACATTGCTTCAATTTTTCTCCATTATCATATAACTTTTTTTGCTAGCTGGTTGATGGTTGTCAATGTTCATAATTGTCGCGTCGCCGGTAAGTCGCAGGTACTAGGGGACGCTAAGTGCCAACCAGAATCGTAGGCGTTGTACCATTGAATGGGTTTTATTCAGAACTCCGCTCCACTCTGACCTCTCTCACAAACAATGAAACAATTCGTACAATTCGGTGAAAACTATAAGAAAACTAACGATTAACAATTGAACTTTACTTGAGTAGAATAAAGGACGTAACTTACGTTTGTTCTGGTGTAATAGTTCAGAAAACTTGAAATATTCTGCTAAACTTGTATGAACTCCAACAAAGAACTAGTGTTTACTCCGATGACTTCTAACTCCAACTAAACTCCGAAAGCCGTAAAACTAAGGCCGATGCGACGCCCGGGTATCTTATAACAAGCTATCTCTAATACAATAAGCAAAGTATATGATTGGTTGAATCTATGACAAGCGAAATGTAAGGCAATAAGTTCTGAGCAAGGACTATAAAAACACTTAATCAATTAAATTACGATGATGATAAACACTCCAAACATGACAATAATGCAAAGAATATATTAAATAAAATTTACAAAAAATTCAAACTAATCTTAATTCAAACCAATCTTAATTGAAAGAAATTGCATTTACCCTTGTTTACCAAAACTATGATTGCAGTATTTTTAAACTCAATCTTTTGCAATCTTGTATTTTTCCTGCAATTTTCCTTTAATATTCGCTGTTTCGTGTTGTAGCGTGAACCCACCGGATAATCATCGCAATACCGACCACCTAGCAGATGATATGAGCTGATATTCTATTTAGACTAACTAAATTGTTGTCAAATGACAAAAATTCCTTGATTCAAGAATGATTGAGTAAAAACTTATGGGGTAGGGGTGGGTATATAACTTTTGTCCCATGGTGCACTGCAAGGAGTATTCCAATATGGCGGTCGGGACGATGTTGACATGGAAATGTAAACAATCCAGATAAAATATGTTTTGTACGTGAAATACAGAAATTTTAGCGAACGAAATACTTGTTTAGTAGAAAATTACCACAATGGGTGTAAAAGATGTGAAGAAGAACAGTATTTCAGAGACAAAAGATGGTGCAACTTGGGTTCATCAATCGCTTGCACAGGTGAAACGAAATTTGCAGTTCAACTTCAACTTTCTTTAATATTTAAGCTTAGTCAAAAGCAATCACTTAATCTTCTTTTCAGGTGAAAATCAAAGTCATGAAAGGACACAGTGATGCTGTCAATTCGTGTGAATTCTGCTTTGACGACTCAAAGATTGTAACCTCCTCAAATGACATGACCTTAAGATTATGGGTGAGACTGCTAAAAGGTTACTTTTGTATCGGACATATACTTTGTTTTAGCTTGACAAGGCAATAGCTTTCCATTTAATTCATAAGTTAATAATCTTATATTATGACTTATAAATGAAGTATTGTTCATGTAAGTAACTTAACAGGAAAGTACAATATATAAAAGGTAGTAAAAGGTACATTATATAATTAATTTTAGATAATGCACTCTCTGGCTGGCGACCGTGTTTATATCAGGGGACAGAGACGTGGCTTACTGGCAAAATTTGTTTTTCACTCGAAAAACGCAGAAAAATTTGATTAATCCACATTATACCATTTTTAATTCATAATCATTGCATTCTGGTTCATTCATACTGACAATTTGCCTCTAAATAGCCACTATTTTTTAGTATTTAGTTTGATTTTATTTCACAATAGAATCCTGCATTTGCTCTACGAGCAGTTTATGTGCAATATAGTGTAGATAAGACAATAGAAAACAAAGACATTTTAGCACTTTTATGGGTTTCAAGTGCAGCTATAGGATCCAAGAGTTTATTAATGTTAGACGTAAAATATGATTGTCTTCTGTTCTACAGGACACTGCATCTGGTGTACAGTTGAAAACATACAAAGGGCATTCATCCTTTATCACTTGTTGCCATCCAGATTCTGCCAATGGGAAGTATGTGGTTTTGCTGTTTGGATATCATTAGATAATGGACAATGTGCAGAGGGGAACTTTGGATGACTGAAATTTAACTCGGCTTCAGTGTAATATTATAGAGCAAAGCATGATGGGAAATATTCACCCCTCACATGTTATGTAATATTAATGATAACTATTACGGTAATAAGAAATAAAAAAATCCATTTTTTAGGTTTTCTTCATCTATAAAAACAATTTGCGTTTTTGCAAAGTACACATTCAATTAAAAAGGGAGTTGCTTTTGTGCGTTGCTGTAATTTTTATGACCATTTAATAGTCTTCTTCACGGTTACCTGTGCCATCTTGAAAGGTAGCTGTGCCTTTGCATCGAAGCGAGACAACCGTTGAGTTTGCAATGATAGAAACCTTCTTTCACACCTACAGACAATTATTGACTGGTATCTATCATTGCATGCTCAACGGTTGTCTCTCTTCGATATAAAGGTATGGCTACCTTTCAAGATGGCGCACGTAACCTCGAAGGAGACTATTGAAATTATCACCATAAACGTTGTTCTTATCACTATTATAATATAACAAGGTTTAAGAATTTGATCATTGTGTATTAACTTTAGGCTTGCATCTGGTGGATGGGACAAATTTGTCTATGTTTGGGAAGTAGAAACTGGGAAGATTTTGGTAAGAAAGCAACTGTAAACAAATGATGCTAAATATACTTTGGCACAAGACCAAAATTATATTCAGTCAATAAAGTTAACAACATGAAGGCCAATGGCAAGTGTAGTTGATTAATAATATCAATTCATCATTAATCTAATGTATTTGTAATGTATTTTAGTGGAGTGCTATTCATGAAGGAATCGTCACAACATGTCACTTTTCTAGTGATGGAAAGTATCTGGTAACAGGAACCGACCTAGATTTTGCAACGTGTGTGTGGGATGCAAGGGAAGGAACATTAATCAAGAAACTGTTACGTAAGTGCCAATAAGCTTTCATATCAAATAACGTTTTTTCAGTCCTGATGATAGTTGTGTGAGCTGGATGCTTGGCAATAAATAAAATCGTAAAAGGTTGAAGTATCCTATAGCATATTATGAATGTGTAGTGCAAAACAAAAATAGTTCGCAAACTTTTCTGGATTATACAGTTGGAATTGTAATCTTTACAAACCAGGGAATAATCGGTCCGAAATAATGAGATTCATACTTATGAAAGGTTGACAAAACTGCCAATAACAATGTGCGCTTATCATTTGTAGATCATCGTAGCACTGTGACCTGTTGCCGATTTTCTCCACTTGAGAATCGAATTTGCACAACGTCGATGGACAGAACGACAAAGATTATTGACATGAGAACATTCAAAACCACTAACAACAACATTACTCTTAGTCTAGGGTAGGTTTCCCAGATAATACAGGATTTCACTGTCAATGGTGACTATTAGATAGCAAGCTTCTTACTATTTTATCAGGATTGTATATGGAAGCCTCTTAGGAGGGTCAATCATTGCAATGGTAATCATCAGTGGTCACTTGTATCCAATACTGTTGTAAAAATTAAAGGAAATTGGATGATTTTCCCCCAAAACAAATAGTTAGATGACTCTCCAATGATGAACAGAGAAAAATTTGTTTTTGAATTATAAAAGAACCTGGCTTATGATTAAGAATTAGACATTCCATTCATCAAATATCATTTTATGTATAGGGGACACATTAATGTAATTTCAACGTGTTCATTCTCAAGCGATGAGCATCTATTGGCCACTGGTTCTTGGGATAAGAACATACAGCTGTGGGATGTGGCTACAGGTGTCTACAGAACTAAAGGACCAATGACGCTGTCCAAGGGACATGAAGGATCTATAAGTGCATGTCAGTTTAGCAAAGATGGTAAATCTCTATAGTGACAGTGCCTTGACCTTTTTTTCCTCAAAGGAACCCCAATTTTATTCTCTTCTTTCACATTTCCCATAATGCCTTCTGTTCTTCGGAGTAAGTATTGTCATTCAAATCAAACTTATTATAGAGCAGATTCCGTATATGAGTGTGCAAAAAATACGGCACCTTCACATCATGGTCGTACAGTTCTATGGCAGTGATTTTAAAAATGTCGAATCTTTTTATTTGGAATCACTAGTAAACAAGGTTCTGTGCCCATGTTATGTCTTTACTGTGATCTGTGCCATTGTACAGTCATACTTTGCTCTTACTCAAATAAAATGCATTTAAATGGCAATTACAGATGTGTGGAGTAGAGAATTGTTTGTGTAAGAAAAACACCATGACAACAGAATTTTCTTTAGGTCATGCAATGGGCATATACCACAATGGTGGTGTGTGTGTAACTTCATGAGGTCTTGATTTACAGACCAAGACCATAGAAACCAGTCTATTTAAAAGACTAGGGAGATTATAAACAAAAGCAACCAATCAGAAGGCAGACATACTATGATAACACATCAAAAGAAAGAAACATAGAAAGAATGAAAGAAACGCAAGAAAGAAAGGAAAAAAGAAAGAAAGAAACTTAAGAAAGAGAGGAAAAAGGAAGATAAAACATTAATTTTATCTTTATCTTGTTAACCAACTTTAGGAACTTCACTGGTTTCATCATCATTTGACGAAACTCTAGTCATATGGGATGTTGAAAATCTCTGTCAGAAGTTTGCTCTTAAGGTATAGAGCGGATTTCGTATGAGTGGGACACCATTACCGCACGGTTACCGCACAGTTACCGGACCTGGCCTGCAAAATTTTGGTGAAACAACGGGGCACTAGAATTTGGTTACAGTACGATTACGGTCACCGTACAGTACCGTCCGTTTCCCACTCATACGAAATCCGCTCTATGTGGTTGACGTGTAGTTTGCTATCATCAAACAGTTAATTATTCAAGTGAAATAGTCTGGTTACTTGATACTTTGATACAAAACCTTTGGCTAATTTAGAAGATAACATGGAGAACCATAGAATGGAGTATTTCTAAACTTTATCAACTAGTAGTCTTATAGAAGTCTTCACAAAAACTCTCAACTCTCAGTTTGTTGCTAAATGCATTGGTCATTCAGTTCTGACTAAATGAATAGCAATATGAGATTTGTTTCATTCTTTCTGTATGATTGTCTAATGTTAGCCTGTGTACATCCGTTTCTCACCCCTCAAAAAAATTTTTGAGGGGTGAGAAACGGATGTACACAGGCTAGTCTAATGTATTTTTGTGATTGTTTTTTTTAGGGTCATTCAGGTTGGGTAACTGATTGCAGTATAAGTGAAAATCAAAAATGGGTTTTATCATGCTCAAAGGTATGAAAAATAATAATTTTAATTTATAACTTATTAATTGCGTTAGTTAATAAGTTAATTAATAATTAATAAACCTGGCACAAAATTGTTATTTTCAAAGAAGAAAAGGAAAATTTCAATAAAATGAGATTCAAACTCCAGTTGGGTCAGTGAGAGTAGTGCAGAAAGTACCTAATCCAACCTCAAGCCATGGTCAACTAGCATTGCTAATATTTTTTAATAGATTGTATTTTTATTTTCAAACATAAAAAAATATTGTAAGGGATGCATGATGACCAAGGCCCTTAACAGGGGGGATCCAGGATTTTCCTCAGGGAGGAGTGCGGGCCTCTCAGGGGGGGTGCACCCCACAAAAATCATTACCACAAATTAAGGAAAGTATTGAAAGAAATAGATCTCAGGAGAGGGTGCGCACCCCCTGCAACCACCAGCTGGATCCACCTCTACTTAAAGACATCAATATTAGAAATACTGTACCTTGATCAACAATAAAACCAGTCATTTAACAGAACCTAGAAAACAGAAACACAGCATTTTGTTTTTGATTCGTATAGGATCACACGGTCAGATTGTGGAACATAGAATCCAGTGAAGATATACCAGTGGTACTGGAACACAGGAAAAATATTGGTCTCAGGATAGTCAATGTAAGAATTTATTTCAATATTATTTCCTAATAGTTTTATTATAGTTTTCATTTCAAAAGAACTCTGACTTCATTTCATAACATTTTTCTTTTGTATTCATCACATTTTGACATCATCAGTGTATTTATTATAACACTGATGCATGAAAATATGGAATCTATATGTTAAATAATCTACTTTTGATATTTTTGTAAGCTAAACTAGTTGCTTTCTATTTTTCTCTGTCTATTGAATTTTTCATAATACATGTTCATATTTATATTAACATTTATTTACAGTGTCAAATCTGCAGCAAGCCATTCTCCATCACCCAGCTAGAGGAAGCTGACAATGCCAAGTTCTGTGTGTTYTGTCGTCTTGAGCATCCATCCATGTATGAGCCTCCAGTATAACAGTCTCCCCATCCTGCTGATATAACCTAATACAAAGAATTATTTTAATATAATTTATAAACTATTAACTTAAACACAGATCTGCACTGGTGTTCTTATAAGTGTAAAAATGTTATGGTATAACTTATTCTTGAATGAAAGTGCTTGCCTGCATTTAAATTATTAATTAGTAGTCTACACAGAAACTGTGACTCTTATAAGAGCTGTATTTCACATTTTATTTCATCTCTCTTTTCATTCATTTCTTTTACATTCCCCACATCTCACACATTCTTCAACTCCCTTACGTTTATTCTCTCTTCCTTTCTATATATTTAATGTACATAAAACATGTTTTCTAGAGAAAAAGTCAGGGACTTTAATTGTGTTTGGCTGTTCTATCTCAGATGTGAACAAGCATTATTGTTCTTTGTGCTTGACTATGCTTTAACAGCAACTGTAAAGCTTTCTTAGTTTATATGTCCAGTTAATACCATACAAGTTGCCATTGAATAGTCCATGTGTGAATGCCTCAATGATGTAAATAAAAGTGTTTCATCTTTTTTTATCTTAATTTGTTATAGCAGTGCACTGTGTGCAAAAATGTCCTCCAAATATTGAGGTTTATACTAAAGAAAAATACAATTCAACAATACAGGCTAATTTTGCTTGGTTTCAGCCAGTTTTCCTTACCTTCATGAAACTTTTTTGTCTTTGTGAAAAGACTGTTGAAAGAATGTTTTCACTTGTTGTGCAGAAGATTTTCCAATGACTGAAGACATTTTCTGTAAAGAGATGTATTGACAACAGTTATGCTCCAGAAGTGCACATCTGTTCCCACCCCTCCCCCTATGGGGAAATTCTAGGGGGGAGGGCAAAATTTTCGATTGGAATGTTACGCCTGGCAAGGATTAACACATTAAACTAACTACAGCCAACAAAGGTTTGCAGCATAAAAAAATAAACTGTGGGATTTTCTTCCTTTTAAACATACCTCGAAGTTCCCATTGCTTATTCCCTCAATGCCTATGGAGACACACATAAAATGTAAATAATACTTCATCTTAAAGGTCTAAGAGGAACCTACTTTCAAGACAATATTGCATTACAGCAAATTCTATGGTTAACTTACTTTTAAACTCTTTTAAGAGATCCATTGCTTTCTTCTCTCCAAGACCAGGGATATTTTGAACTGTGGCTAGCAATGATGTATCAAATGATGGTGGCTTTCGTTTGATACGGTACGGGTTATTTAGAGGTTTATTCTCAAGTTTCACCTGTATTAAATGAGTCAATTTTCTGAGTTTTACCTTTTAATATTAACCCATTACTACTTTGAACCCAACTTTCTCACTTACAACCTATGTACATCCATTCCCACCCCTCCCCCTATTGGGAAAATTTCCTCCCCAGGGGGGAGGTATGGAAATGGATGTACATTTACTTAGAGAGTGAGAGAGATATCCTCATAAGTTTTTGACATGTCTGTCCTGAATCTGTCCCACAAGAAGTACAATGTGGAGTTAGTAACAGTTAAAGTAAACTTACCATTTGTGTAATGCATTTTGCTGCTTCAGTGGTACTTGTTAAGGGAATTAGAACCAATGACCTTTCCATGACAACAAAATGTTGTAGGGCAGGGAAGTACTGCTCACTCATTGAAGTTCTCTCTGCCAAAACTAGAACTCTTTGGTACACCTGAAAGTAGAATGTTAATGAGGTAATCATGGAAAATTTCAAACATCTGCACAGTTTCAGCACTTTTTTGTCAACGTTTACTGGTTTACTAGCTGCAATATTAGTAGTTAATATCATGGACTAGTAAGCTTTATGTGGGCATTTACACCAAGCCAACCTTGAAGCTGGTTAAGAGCCCTGAATACATAAGCAGAATAGTGGTTTGAGTCAAATGCAATGTGAAGTGAGAAATGAGAACTGTGGACCTGTTCAGAGTAGACAGGTAATAACTGGGTATATACAAATAAATATAATGACGTCAGACAGTATGGGAATCAAACCCAGTCCTGACGACGCAAAGTTTAATATTTGTACCATCATGACAACATAGGTAAAATTCAAACCAGAAAAAAGAGAATACTTTTTAAAGAAGAGAAAATGTGAAAGAATGGAAAGCACAAACAAAATGACAAGAAAGAAAAAAAGAGTTGAGTGGCCTTCACCTGAAGAACAAGCCTTTAGCAAAGTATTAAGAAATTCAAAATCTAAATGAATATAAAAGATTTAAAAGTCAGAGTAACTGCAATTTTTACCTTTGACAGTTTCAATATCTTTGTCTTATAATCAACACTGCTGATAAGGTCACTTTCTGTTAGATATGCCATGGCTACTTCACTTGATGGTAAGAAGTCTGCCAGGCCCATTGTATCATCAAACATTACTTTTGTGTAGTGATCTACCAAAACAAAATGATTGTTGGGAACCCTGTGTTATATTTTTTTGCCAAGGCACAGGTAACCCAAATCAAATTCTCTCACAAAATAATAACATGGAATTAGAGCTTGAGTTCAATCTTTGTCCATTATATGAACAAGTATATTCTCAAAACATCTATTTTACATGTAATTTTAATGAAAAAATATGAAAAACAAAATATGTTTGGGCTGTTGCAACATTAAAGCATTTCAATTCATTCAAATTTATAAACACCAGAACAATACATATAGTTTTCACACGCAAGAGCAATATATATTATCAACAACAAGTATTTTAAAACATTAAATAATCGGATCAACTTCCAAAACAAATTCAAATTTTGGCGCGAAATTCGATGAAAACATTTTGGAAGAAAAATATCTAGACAAACCTTGAATTGCCTTCACCAGTTCACTTCCATGCCATTTTTCGTGAACCAGAACGTGTCCTTGAGGGATAAAAGCTCGATGAATCTTCGTATTTTTGGAATTATTTGCCATAAAGTTAACTTTTCCTCGTGTTTGTACTTAAAAGTGTGCCCACAGGGATTACTGTCAGCTGTTATCCGTAGTAAAGCACGTGCATTCGTAGCCGAAAAGAACTGGTAACTACAGAATTCGAATTGTCCATTTTTTTCCTGAAAAGTTTGTTGTTTATTTGTTTATATTGCGGAATCTGAGGTGCTTTTTGAGGTGAGATGGATGTGGGTGAGCTGATATCGTTTCAGGTAAAAGACTTTAATTAAAAAATGAATTCTTTGGTTCAAATGTATGAAAATCGATCCATTCTTTGCATGATGATCATGAAGCATTAATCGATGTTTATACGAATCAAAGTAAGCTTAACATTAATTGAGCTTATGATCTGTATTAAGCCTGACAACAAAGGTACTAAAAGAAAAAAGGGAGGAGATGAGAACGATGTCAATTCACGCAAAAGAAAAGCTGGTTCTGTGATCGAGGAAAAGTTCAATTCCAAAGCAGAATTGACAGAGGAGGAAAGAGAAAAGATCTTAGAAATGGTTGAGAATGAACCAGAGGTCGAGACATTAGATGTCGGATCATTGAGAAGAATGCTATTGTCTTTTGAAAAGCGAGTAACAAAGAATCAAGAAATGAGAATCAAGTATCCAGACAACCCAGAAAAGTGAGTGACCTCTGCAGATAATGCTTCTTTTTTCCCTTTTGGGATCCCTTTGGTATCCTTTTGACTGAGGGATCTTGGGCCCCTTAGGTGACATCACTTATAACCCCCTATCAAAAAACAGGCAGCCCAACCCTATAGAAAAAGAAAAAAGCCAGAGAGATGCCTCCAGGGTTGAGGCTAAGTGTAATCTATGTTGGACAATATCTAATCTCCATTCTCTCCTCTAACCTTTTCTAAAATAGTTATATTCAACAAATGGCTGAATTATAGACATTTTTTTAAATACAAAATCATGGTGCATTATGGTCTAGCTTCAGTACATACATGTATAATACCTTTTTTGGCCTGTATTGAATCTAGACCATAGTGCAATGCACTGCGATATTTCAGGGAAGGCCTATAAATTTGCAAAAAAGTATGTTATTTAACTTTTCTTCCAGATTTATGGAATCAGAACTTGATCTTCATGAAGAAATCCAGAAACTTCACGTCATAGCAACAGCTCCTGAACTTTACCAACATATTGTAGACCTTAATGCCATCACCACCATGTTAGGATTGATAAGCCATGATAATGCTGGTATCCTTTTCATTGTTATCATAAAAAAGGGTTTCATTTTTATCACAAAAATAGATCCAGCCTTTCATGGTTGTTATACCCCTCAACCAAAAATAAGCTCCAAGGTCCATGGAAAGAAAGACTAAAGCACTTTTACATCTAACCTAATGTCATAAACACCTTATTCACTAGGTTAAAAATAATTTACTGAAACAATGGTGTGCTCTCGATGTTTATCACAGCACCATACAGATAAAAGTTCATCTTTCACTACAACACCTTCCCTAGTAGGAGAGTCTCTCTTGTTGTAGTTCTTGATGAGTATAATCTTGTTGTAGTTCCTAAAAGAGACTCTGCTAGTATGGAACACAACACACTTCCCTTCCAAAAAAACACCTGATAAAAACGTTTTATTAAGCAGTGTTTTAACATCGCACTAACAAAGCTGTGCTCATGTTCAATGTGATCAGATATTCAGTCATGTTGGACAATATTGCACACTCTATGAACTGCACTCTTCTTTTGGATATTTGCTTTAGAAAAATGGACAAAAATCTGAAAAATACATTACAAAAGCTTCCTTCACAAATGCATGCAGATATTGCTGTTGCAATAGTCAACCTGTTGCAAGAAATGACAGACATCGATACACTGAATGAAAGTGAAGATGGAGCAACAGCTCTCATTGATGCATTGGTTGGTATTGATTATGGATAATAGTTAATGAATAATCAATTGTGGAAAGTTTTACAAATTCAAAAGGAAGCAAAGAATAACACAGTATTTGCAAATTAAAGAAAGTACTAGCTGGCATTTTTCTAGGTTATGGTTAAGTTACTTTCAAGGTTGCCAGTTTCTGTGATATATGGAAGTTGTGTGTATGAATTTCAGATGGAAGGCCAGGTCATTGCCTTGTTGGTACAGAATTTGGACAGACTTGATGAGACTGTGAAGGAAGAAAGTGAAGGTGTTCACAACTCTTTAGGTACATAATACAGTTAAGAATTCCCTTAAAAAGATGAAGCATTGATTTTAATAACCTTTTCATTTCAGGAATTGTTGAAAATATGACAGAGCTTCAGGATACAATAAGCGTGGCAGCAGGAGAGCAAGGTCTCATGGGATGGTTAATCAAACGACTGAAGGTAAAGCATTGACAACAAAAATAAGTTTTAAAATTGTTTAAATATTAAATTTTGAATAAGATTTAGTGTTTAATACTAGAGTTTGGTCTGTATTTGTCTTTTATATGACTTGTGATGCCTTTCAAACATTGTCTTTCCACAGCAAAAACCTGCTTTCAATGCTAACAAGCTCTACAGTAGTGAAATAATGTCAATATTATTACAAAATACAGAAGCAAATAGACAACTATTAGGGGAACTGAACGGCATTGATACACTACTTCAGTGCTTGTCTGTAAGTATATGTCTAATATTTATGAAATAATGATGGTCCAGTGATTAAAGTCATTGGACTTCAGGACTGGGTTCAATTCCCAAACAAGATGGTTACATTGTGTCCTCAGGCCTGATACTCAACCCTCTCAGTAGCTTGACATCCTTGGAAAGGATGTAAATCCAGTTCACATTCGTAAGAGAAGAAGGATCACTATTTGACAAAGAGCAGGGCACGGAGTTCCTGGTGGTGTTTGCCAGGACTCTTCTATGACAACATTTTTGCAATTAGATGTACAATGCAAATCAAATATTATTGTCAGGTTTAATCATCAAACATGACTGAAAGTTTTATTGTAATTCAATTTTAGTTATATAAACGTTATGATCCAGCAACATCCGATGAGACTGAGTACATGGAGAACCTGTTCAACTGCTTGTGTTCAGCATTAATGTTTCATCCCAATAAAGATTTATTTTTGAAAGGAGAAGGACTTCAGCTTATGATACTGATGTTAAGGTAACACACAGGAAGCCCAAGTTCAGCGAACCTGCTTTGCTCTGAAATATGCTTTTTACAGAGAAAATAAAAAATTCCGACAAGAGGAGCACAAAGCACATTTTTAAATCTATATTTCCTTACAGAGAAAAAAAGATGTCAAGAAGAAGTGCTTTAAAAGTCTTAGATTATTCCATGCAAGGCAATGAAGGTGCAGAGAATTGCCAAAAGTTCATTGAATTCTTAGGCCTGAGATGTTTGTTTCCTTTGTATATGAAGGTAAGAATCTGGGACATCTGATGGTGACTAGTTACTAGCAGGATGGACACTTCTAGTTATGTACTTATGGCAAGGATGATAATACTGTAGAAGATTGTAGCAAAGCAAAGGTATCTTTATGCTCGATTTATTATTTTCTTCAGGCCCCCAAAACAAACAAAAAGACTGGATCAAAAGAAGAAGAATATGAAGGTACAGTACACTTGAGTGTTTTAGACGTTTTTTTTTAATGGTTCAGCTGCCTGTGCACCCAACTTGCTCAAAGTGCAATAGGCAATGTGCAGCGATCCTAGATTAACTCTTAAAGATCCATGGAGTTAACATAGTATTAACGCTAATAAGCCTGAGCTACACGACGCAGGCATAGCTCCATAGCTTATTGTTAACCCAGGATTTAGCTTTAATCTAGTCCAGTCCCAGAAACCTGTTATGTCCGCTCCCTTGAGCTGTTGTCAAGGGCAACAGGGTCTAGGTCTGGTACTAACAAGCCAACCCAACAATTGTAGTATTAAGCAGGCATTAATCATCTATTAAAATGGTGAAGATAGATTTGCAATAAAGCTGCGTGAATGATATTTTAAAATCTTTCTTTTTTTTAAAGAAGCAGAAAACGTTAACGCTAAATCATTCAACCAATGCAGATGCGCGCGATGTTCTTTTAGAACTTATCTTGTCACATGCAAATGTTTTTCTAATTTTCAGAGCACAGCCTGTCAATCATGGCGTCATTATTCAAAAACCTCGCAGGGTCTCTACGCAACAGACTAGTACAGAAGTTTGTGGAAGGTGATCATATCAAAGTCGACCGACTCATGGAACTTCACTTCAAATATTACAGAAGAGTTCAGGACTGTGATGAGAAAATTGACAAAGAAAAACAGGTAATTGGTCACCCTGTGTTAGTCGGCGCGCATTGTTATCCGGATTTTTCCACGCTAAACTCAGTGCTGATGTTACCTTTCACTTCTAAACATGTGTATTAGCTAATTAAGCCTGTTTTAGGCGTATTTGAATCCAGAAGTCTTTACTATATCCTGCATTAAACCTGTTTATCCTTGCGGTATCTTTCAAGTAATTAGGTTATGTCTGTATCTGAAACCGGTATCAACCGGTTTTAACTAGTTTTTCTTGCATTTCACAAAACCATTTAATATTTTTTTAACATGACCCCGTATTACAATATTGTTCTCATTTTTTTCAAGGAACTTATCGACGAAGGAGAGGAAATTGATGATGACACAGAAGATGGTTTTTATCTAAAAAGACTTGACGCTGGTTTGTTTACGCTGCAACTTGTGGACTGTGTCATGCTAGAAGTTTGTTGCGCAGGCGTACCTTCGGTAATTGAAGGACTACAAAGTTTATTAACAACTAATATAGTCTGTTTCATATTACTTGAAACGATTGTTCATTGTCGGACTATGTTCGGAAATTCCGAAGTCGGGCGTGCATCTTACGAAAAACGTCGCACAGACATTCCGAAGCACGCGCCCAACTTCGGAATTTCCGAAAATAGTTCGGAAAACAGTCGTGTAAAGTGATCTAAAAACCGAATGGAATTAATGGTTGATAATTTGTCGCTCATTTAGAAAAATCTGAAAGCTTGTGGTTACTTTATTTTTTTCTTTAGTTCTTATAATGGTACTTTGCTTTTAGTAAAGCAGCTTGCTAAAGACAGCACTGTCAGCTTAATAGCAGCCATTTTCAAAGTTGCCATTATAACCTTCCTGACAATTTTTTTTGAATAGAAATGGTTTAATAGCAAGTAAAGTAATGCGGTTTGACAATATTGTCGCGCTGAAGCGGTCAGTGGTCATTTTAGGGTACTGCTATTTGCGTATAAAGGCGAATTAGATGCCACAACTTTTGCCTACAACGTCGCATGCAACCTGCTTAAGTCATCTTTACAACATGGCTACARCTGTCGTGGGGCTATTAAGCATTGTTTTAAATCCCTACGACAGTTGTAGCCATGTCGTAAGGACGACTTGCGCCAGTTGCATACCATGGTTGWAGGCGAAAGTTGTGTCTTCTTTACAACATGGCTGCAACTGTCATAGGGCTATTAGAAAAATTATTTCGAATCTCAATGACAGTTGTAGCCATGTTTTAGAGACGACTTCGKCAGGTTCCACGAGATGGATTTAGACAAAATATGTCCGGTCTAATTTKGCCTTAATAGTGTTTCAGTATTGGCACACTATTTCTACTATTATTTATCTTAATGACGTGACGTGACGTCTTATACATCATTGGTAGTAATTACGTCGTCTGTATCATGCAAATGTTTTGGTTTGAAGTATGTTTTGTTCTTGTCATTAGATTAAACAGCACGTACTCGCTCTATTGAACCAACATGGCGGATCRATGAAGGACATCAAATCTGTCATGAGAGGTAAATTATTGTACGAGACTACCGGGGCTACTTACTTAGAAAGTACAATTTGCTTTTTAAAAAATATAATTGATGTCGTGTTCGCTTAAAAGTTTGAAACTCCTTTTTGTTTTGTATTCACAGAGTATGCTGCTAGTGTCGGAGATGCCAAGAGCAAAGAAAGTCGAGAAGTAGAGAAAAAACGACTTCTTTCACTTATTGATCGGTTTTAAGCCTCGTGGTTTTCAGACGTATGACAAGACGCCATTTTGCCATGCGTTAGAAAAGGCAGTTTTCAGCGACGCCATTTTGTACAAAGCATGATGGGAATTGTAGTGTACTCGCTTATTACAGTCCCTTAAAAGCCTTTTCTAAGAGTCTGTCTTAGAGCAAAAACGGTTTAAGGGGACTTTTAGCGGACATTAAAATGTGCAAGGACTACAACTTCCTCCATGCTCTGTTGCAAAAATGGCGTTGCGCTATGTTGACTATTGAGCTTCTATACATCCTCTCCCTCCTCCAACGAACAGAATGCTGTCTGTTTTGATACTAGTCTCTTAATATTTATGTAGTGTAAACCTCATTGTATATATATGCAAAAGTTATGTAAAGATGTCAGTATTGAATAAAAAGACAATGCTTCATAATTGGCTTTAATAAATAATGAGTTTGATACACTCAAAACTGAGACAAATAAAAATGTGAAGAGTAAAGAGTCCTAAAATACTCAGATGGAAATCCATAAAAAGAGGTTGAACGAGTAAAAAACTCAAAACATTTTATATCTATATACATAATGACTTATTTGATGTTAATGATCCAAAACTCGCTATGAAAATGTCTTTTTAATAATTGATTTGCTTATTTTTAMACCAAAAAAGCTCGGTCCGTCAAAATGTCTTATTTTTACCGTCAATCCTTCAGCGCTTTCAACTACCTTTGAAAATACCTGGCATTTTGCGATGAAACCATCGCAGGAACCCTGTAAGATTTCAAGATCTGGTCACCATTTTTTTACTGTTCACTTGAATTAGCTAATATATATCATGGTTAGATACAGAATAGACGAGTGTGCGAGGCCATTAATCGAGTAAGATTGTGCAAAATTAGATACTGGTCGTACACAAACAGCTTTACTTCCCATCTATCCTTTCAATTTCACATTTTGTCCGAAGTATAGTTTTAAACCTTTCAGCGATTTTGTAATTCGGTGTATGGCTCGCTTCCGACCCAATACTACACATTTCAAAATGGCGCCGCCACGCATAGTGATGTAGCAGGAGGTGACTTTTCCATTCAAGAAAACATATTCCATAAGACACTTAACTTATAGGCTTTCAAAAGCTCAATAGGTTCCATTGAAAATACATATAGAGATCAATGTTTTTTTTAATTTACAGGAGAATGTATGGCTAAAAGTGTCATGGCCTACACCCCCAGACAGCGCGCGCAGCAGACAATTTGTCTCTAGATCGTCCCCTTTAATTTCTGTTATTATTTGGATTTTCTAGGATTTTACACAGCTTCTAAGTGAAGCATATTCTTTRGAAGCACGCAGGGTCATTTTGTGTGGGCTGAAAAAATAATATGCGTGCAAAAACGTTTCATGCTAATGAGTGACGTCYATTTTGCCAAAGGGCTTATTATTTTACAAAAAAAAAACAAGAAAAAAATCGATAGTTGGTTTCAAAGCAGGTTTTATGAATTATGGTGTCAACAATCTGCAAAGCCGAAAGCATCAATAACATTATGTATACTGAAAGATATGATGCATTAACAACTAGAAGCTGACAGCAGGGTAGACTCGTGCCAATAAATGTGTCGAAAATTGCATGTGATCGCTTACTATAATCGACGAAACGAAACATAACGGGAATCTGTATTCAACGAAACGAAACGAGTTGARCTCCGTAGATTTACAATAGTTTTTAACAATCTTTAAAAGTGTAGACATAGTATAAACAGCACGCACGGAAATGCAAACGTGGCTCAATCCCGGCGACTAGCTAGCCAACGAGCTTGCGTAGGCTATCAAACCTCATCGTTCACCCTGATATTTTTTTCAACACCAACCTTTACATGAGACCTAAACTAATGTCCTAATACACACTCTTACACGTAAGATGAATATTTCGGAATTTATACTCAAAAGGGCACGAATCTCAAAGAATTAGCTAACCAAAAAAACAATATTCAAAAAGAGCGCAGGCGTTTCTAGGGATATGGAGAACGTGATTCCAAAAAATAAATAGATAAACAAAGCCATAAATAAATTAATGGATGAATTAATCAATAATAACATTCTTCACCTTTCATCTCGTTGTGTTAAGCACAGAGTTTCTTTATGTTTGTTTGTTTTTGCTCAGTGTACCTTGACGCCTCGGTTTAATGCCCTGATCGTGGTCACTGAATTAATCTGCGCTATTGTACTTGTGAACCTATCTATAAAAACTTCAGAAAAAAGGCCGAATTCAGTTTATGTACTTAATATTTGACCTACACATTTTTCTCTTGAGTCAATGTCAACTTTAGCTGTCAAAAGCACCGATAAGCAAATACATTCAAAATATTTCTAGCGATACAGCAGTCATTCACAGTGAAAAAAGGGCGCAGGAGTCTCTAGGGGAATAGAGAACGTCATTCGAAAAATATATCGATTAATAAAGCTATAATTAGATTAATGAATTAATTTATCAATAATACGATTCTTCATCTTTCATATCGTTGTTCCGTTGTAAATAAATGAAATGAAAAATAAATGGTACATAAAGAGATGAAGAAAACAAACTGATACAAAGATACTATGTCCAAAAAATGTCASTGTAAGCAATTAAATAATAATATGATAAAATAATTATAGCGGATATATATARCATTTAGCATGAGTCTCAACTCGCAGCTCAGGCTTAACTTTTTAAAAGAATACTGAGAACTATAGTTTGACTCGTAAGTTCTTTGAAGTTGTGTACTGTTTTTTGATGATTCTACATGTAGCATTCATAATAGACCGACTCTTTAAAATGGCGGCTAATTTCCTTATAACTGAAGAGCTACTCATCAAGGGAAAAATCCTTGTATTTGCTGCATAAGCAAGAGGGCAAGTTAGTTGAGTGTAAACACTAAAATGGTGAGTAGTGTAGATTAATCAATAGAAAAAAAGTGTCTGCGCTCTCAGGAAGACTAATTTTATTCAAATTGTCCGTCATGCTTCAAAATTTTGCTAATTAGCATAAAGTTTAAATTAAAAAAACCCTAAATTTAAACTAAATTTGAAAAAATAAGTTTATAACGTAAAATGGCTTATTAAGAACTATAAACTACGGAAGTTTGAGGTCTTTACGTGCAATAGTTTATGAGATATTAGCGTTCAAAGATGTTGAGTGGCATGCAAAAGCGCTAATTAGCTCATATAATCTCTCTAAAAATTTGATTTTTTAAAATCGTTTGACGCAAAAAGTGATAATATATGGGAAGCTCAAAATTGCGAGGAGAGCGCATTGTGCTATGTTGTTTCAATATTCAGTGCTGATTTACTGATAGTTAGGTTAAAACTTTGCTTATGCTAATCATATGCTAATGAACCGAAATGTAAACAAATTATTCTCCGATATACGTGTTTTTTTTAATTACACCAGTTATGTGATATAAGTCAAGATACTCTAATCGCTTTTTCTGCCTATGTAATACATCGATGCACCTGTCTTCATCACGAACCAGCGTTAGCAGTTTGACCGATCACCCTCCGCTGTGCGGAAATCTCTTCAAATTTGATGCGGTCTATAGCAAACAAACAAACATGGCGGACAATTTTCACGTCCTTTCTGATTCACGAAATCTCATCCAATTCAAACATCTCGAAATTTTTAAGTTATGCGATAAATCCATAAAATAATTTCCCTAAAGAAAACTTAATACCAGATATTTGCTAAATTACTATTTCTAATTCCCATTTTAAAACTCTGCGGGAATTCATTTTAGCGTCACCCCTTAAAAGGAATTCATTGAGAGATGACGTCATGTGATTTTGATGACGTAGCCCAGGAACCGCCTGAAGGAGATGAATGGCGACCTCTTTTTGCCTCCAATTATAGAAAAATTTYGTGATTGGATTTAGCTTTCTATGAGCGCTAATCAACTATTTACAGYTTATTCAGGGACTAACAAATGGTGTTTGAATGTAAGTTTTTCGCGAAGTGAAGGCGACAAAAATATCTCTAAAAAGAGTATTTTACAGGTGTCGGCTTGCATATCAAGAACGGGTTCGCACTCGTGAATCACCCAATATTTATTGSGCTCTTTCCGAGACAATTTATTACAATAGCCTTTTAGAAGATATCTCAACATCCCTTCCTCCACAGTGCGTYGTTAATTGGTCGAGACTTAGCTCCCAGTGGAAGTACCATCGCTTGAGATCTCGAAATTCTAAGCTGAAACAACTTATAAATGCAAAAACATCGACCCTAGTCACACGAAATCGTATTTTATTTGTATTCCATTCTTCAGCATTGCAAATACAGCCCCCCATTATTAATCCGTCTTAAAAAACATTTCTTCAGAATGAAAACTTTACATAATGTTAGTAAGCATATAAGAAAATTCCCAAATGATTTTTATGCTATGGTCTTAGGTTGCTGTCAGGTTTAAGTTGTTACGCCCATAGCATTCCATCTTTAAAATGTGTTTTATCTAAAAGTCATTTGGGAAYCATCCTACCACAATGCAATATTCTTAATATAAACCACTTAGAAATTCGGCTTCGCTTTTAACACATTTTCACAGCAAAACGCTATTTTCATAAATCCAATGCATAAACTCCCTGCCAAAATTTATTTACAAATTTTAACTAAACCTATTGCYAACTATTGTCCAATTAATCTGCGCTATTATGCTTGTGAACTTATCTATAAAAACTTCAGAAAAAAGCCCGAATTCAGTTTGTGTGCTTAATATTTGACTTACAAGTTTTTCCCTTGACTCAATGTCAACTTTAGCTGTCAAAAGCGCCGATAAGCAAATACAAATTCAAAATATTTCTAGCGATACAGCAATCATTCACAGTGCAACTTGTAGCTTCATAGTGAATGACGCCGTTTGTATATTTACATATTTAGATTCATCCATCATCTGATATTGAGCCATATCAACTAAAATACTGAATTCTTTTCGTGTTTTTGTTTTGATAAAACAAAATATTGGACAGACATACTTAGTTGGATTAGCCAAAGACTAGATAGATTTTTACTAAAATGCTTAAATTAGAAAACAGCTCATAAAAAAAGGAAATTAAAGATGATTTTTTGCATTTATTGGAGGAAGCTTTAGTAATGATTTCTTTAGATAAGCGTAAACGATATAACGATAAAAGCATTTTTGTTGCAGTATGAAAAAGTAGATAAAATATGCGAAAATGAGAGCACAGCTCCGCTACAAAAACATTTCTTCCATGCAAAGAAGCATAATAAGATAATAGCACATTCTAAGTCGTTTGATTTGACAGCTTCAAAAAGGCGAGTACTGCAATAAAACATTAGCGAGAAAAAAAATATCCCATTTTTGTCAGCTATGTAAAAAGTATTTTTCCTAAAGATTTTCTCGCCATTAAGGCAAAAAAATGCAGAACCGTCCAGCAGATTTCTTAATGGAAATTCGAGTTTAAGCTTAAAAATTAAGCAATTTATATAGATGCAAACCAACCCATTTGCGATATAATTTACAATATTTTACAAGACAAGCTCTCTGCTTGCCATTAGTCTTCTAATAAATAAATATGTTTTTAGTTTGAAATATCTTTCGCGGAAAGATTTGGAGTATATAATCGTTATTTCATTTTATGTCTTAGCTGTACCTCTAGTGGTAAACAGTTCTACTCTTTTTAGTTCCATATTTCAAAAGGTCTACAAGGACCTAACATGTTCCTCGCTCGGCGAGTTAACGAAATTTCGAATATAAGATACATTTTACATGTATATATATATATATATAGTTGGCTGGGATTTGATCGAAAAAAATAACATTAGAATATCCCTGTGTTWTGTCTTTTCTACTGAATAATTACTATGCTATACCTGATTGCTAACAATTGGCTATACTATGAACAAACAATGTTTCATTTCTTAGACTTTCCTGATTCAGGATTTAAGCTTCCAATATTGCCATCCTTTTCTTCGCGGGAACATGCCGACTCCATGTGCTTATTGAGGTACGATTTAAGAGCAAACGTTCGATCGCAGCGTTCGCATTTGAATTGCTTCAGCGGAGAGTGAGTTTGAAGATGCGCTCGAAGATTGGAACGATCCGCGAATGCTTTGTTACATTCTTGACAAATATACGGCCTTTCTCCTGTGTGAGATCGCATATGGCCTTGYAGAAGCCATGGACGACTAAAAGACTTGCCGCAAACATTACACTTGTGAAGAAGTTTGTGCGTRAGAACATGCATAGCAAGCGCCGGCATGGAAACATACGCTTTCCCACAATGATGGCATCTTCTAGCGAGCTTACCATCCAAACTACGGTGCGTTTGTTTATGCCGAGAAAGGTTTGACGATGTAGCATAAGATTTTCCGCATTCAGCGCAAACGTATCGACTCTTGTTCTCGTTGGAGCCATTGTTTTTGCTTCTTCCGTCCGTGCAAACAGGTTTCAGTGAATCTGTAATGTTCCCATTTTCGTCCAAAGAATCAAAGCTACTATCTTCTTCTTTCCCCACACACTGAAAGTCGTCTTCTTGTTCTTCTAGAGGCTCTGTTTTTAGTTTTATCTTAGTTGAATGGACAAGAGTCGTGTCCCCCTCCCTCGTATGCACTAAAAACAGCAGAACAACAGGTGTTATGGTTATCAACAAAATTTTGCAAGCGGCCGCCGTGCCAGAAAAACCCACCGAAATCGAATCCAAAATATACAACAACATTGGAAAATCCSTTTCAGAYGCAACTTTAAACTTACCTAAATTATCGTGAGTCGGACAGTCGCTGTTTCGAACTGTTGCAAGTGTCGTTGGAGAAGAAAAATTACCATAATCCTTGGACTTTTTTTTTATCAGAAATGATTTAGGCATCGTTTCCCAGTATTTGTTGTTTCCCCCCTAGACATATTACTAACGTCTAATTCACATCAAGCGACGTATCGTTTTTCGGTTTGTTGTTGCGAGAATGCTGTCGAGGCATGATTTCTTCGGTTCTCTGCTTCGYTGAAAGATCGCTGCTTGASTGTCACACGGGCCCCATCGTTAGTTGATTTTCGAGAAAAACTCACCGGAAATAAGCGACGAATTTCAAATTTTCATGCAAATTCACTCCCACTCCTTCGCTGATGTGAATGATGTTCTCTGAGTGTTGCCTTAGCTCTTAGTGGTCGATATGCAGTTCTATATTTCACGCAATCATGTTCCGGGTGATTATTTCAGCCAAAGTAAACGTTGACAGCTTTGGAGTGTTTTGGCAGTTGGTCGGTGGAAATTTTCAGTGTTTTTCGCTTGTAAASTTGATAGGTTTCAAAGGATAGTGTGGGGTAAGSAATCGAGAGAAAAATATACCGTGTGAGTCGGCGGTTGCTGCGAACACACAATCCACCTGTTGCCAGGACACTTATCTTCGCACACAAAATAACTAATAATTAATCGCCCAGTTTTACTGGCAAGCACATTAAAATGCAGAATTCTCAACGCCTTTTTAATATTCATGAACCCAAGCGATCTAGACGAAAAAGGCGCCATATTCCAAGCAATGTGATTGGCTAACGACGGGTTCCTGTGTTACCACTGTGTTTTATTTGCAAACACCAGAATCTGATTCAAAAGAGCTCCATTCTGATTGGCTGACAAAAACAAATTTGGTTTCATTCGATAATTTGATTGGCCAATCGGATGTAAGCGTATTTTCAAACGTCTTCGTCAAGTGATCTTGTATTTGTACAAATCTATCGTAAAAGTTAAACGACTCTGAAAACCGATAAATCACTTAACTATTATTCCATCTGGAATAAATCAAACYAAGCATCTGAATTCCTTGTTTCACCACTTGAAAGAAAATCACGKATTATTTCCACTTTTTGCAATTTAATACGGACAATATTTCCACGATTGTTTGAACAGATTTCAGTGAATCATTTCAAATGAAAGAAAAAACGGAAGCGATTTTAATCCTTAGAAAAATTCACCAACAATGTGATTATTATATTTACTGAATTTCGACATAAAAAAAAGGAAAAAAAAAGCTGAATGTATCATATACATTTATAGACCTTTTTTAAATGATAAAAGAAAAACATGGGATTTCATTCCCGATTTATTTTCATTCAAATTTTTGCTTTCATGTAGGATTTCATTGAAAAGATGAAAATGAATTTCAAAACAAAGAGGCGCATGTTTTTGACATAATATGCAAACTCTTRATACATTGAATAATTGTACCTGAAAAAATATGATCTTATTCTTTTCTACATTTTTTCCATGTTTTAAATAAACTAACAGAAATACTACAAAATCACATTTTTRTCCCACTTTATTTAATTTAAAGCTTTAGCTTATACATCATTGAAAATGCAAAGAATCCCAATCGTGACTAACGTTAGTAATTAAGCATAATTTCACTCTCTTTTCCTTCTCTTTTGACTGACTGTAGATTGACTTAGACAATATGAAAAAAAAAGGAAAAAAAAAATATACGAATTTGAATATGCGCGAAAAAATATTCTGCCAGTATTTAAAAAAAAATGAGAATTATTCTGGTCAAGGACATCGAATTTTTTGCCACTTTTAGCATGATAATCAAGCTACTTGTTTTATAAGATTTGTAGRGTATAATTTCAAAAGCTGACGGATGCGAAGAGGCAAGATGCAAATGAGCGAGAAAAATGGTCCACAAACTGATGACAAGCTGAGAATCAGCATTGTTGGTGATATTTGMGCATTTTGACGTCACAAAGCCCCTTATCAATAGATAAAATAAAGTTTAGCTATTCCTTGCATTGGAAATGCGCTAGTGCTTCTAGTAAAAGCAACTAGTAGTAGCTGTGCTTAGCCTGGTAACGGCAATCAATATTTTGACTTCTAATTCGGATTTTCCTCCTTATGTGTAATATATTTGATCTCTTACATCCCTGCGTATTAACCCAGAAAATAACAATCAAATAAGAGAATTACTTATTTATATCCATACTTGCATGAGACGGATGGAAAATTCAGTAAAAAAAGATGCAAGTATAAAAAGAAAGTTGCACAAAAAACGTGAATTTTCTTGAAATTAGACAATTCTCACGTTGTGAATAAAATTTCCCACAAAAATCTTGTTTTCCAGCACAAGAATACTCTGTCATTTGATACTTCTTAAATGAAATAATGAGAATAAATAAAAAGAAAGAGAATCAAGATAACTGATTAATGACCAAAACACAATATTTTTTCTTGGTTTTCRGTAAGGAAATTTTCGATTCAACAGAGTAATTAAATTTTTTCTCAATATCTCATCAACAAGTTGGTTTTCGACACCAAATTATTTTAAATAATTAAATGACACTGCGAATGGAAAGAAGTGGTAATGAAAAACGAGCAGAGATGAAAATACTTGGCGTTTATTAACATATTAAAAGTCACTTGGCTTTTCATCGAATGATTTAATACTTAAAACTTAGCATGAATGGGAGAAAATTGAAATAAGAGTAGGAATTTAATTCTAMAGAGGATTGGAAAGATCATTGCGCAATTTAGCCGTCAAGATTGTGTTTGAATTTACCTTAATACAGTTAGCTGTTTCCGTCTACGCGACCCAAAAATGTGAGAAAAAATGAAATGAAATGCATGAAAGAAATAAAGATGAGAGTAATTAAAATTCAATCATTTTGAAAAGAATAAACCTAGAGTACKAGAATTTTCAGCTTTATTATCAACAAGTTTTCAGTATTAACGGAGCGCTCAATTTAATGTTTTTAAGTCCTTATTCCTCTGCCATTGCACAAGATYGCACTGAAGACTGTTTTTGATTAAATTTGAAAATACATGAATAACCTCAAAAAAAATCCACTTTAGGTCAGTGATACCGACAAAACCACAATCATTTTTGAGGAATGAATTATTTTTGTATATCAAGTGCTTTAGTGAAAGATCTGACGAACGGACGCCATTAAGCTATTCGTCCATTGTCAAGGTTTGTGTCAATGTTAGCGATAATTACGATAACAAGAAAACGATGAGGATTTTAATAGAGACTTGTAGATAGATGGAGACTCATTGGCGATGAGGTATAGCGCAAGGTATTAAATAAAAAGCGAAAAAAARGAAATCCATGATTCAAGGAAAAATCACGAAATGAAACAAATTGTACTAGATTATTTAGAAAAAATGAAAAAATAGGAAATATGCAGAGAAGGAAAACGATGAAAAACTGCAATATAAAAATTTTTAAATATAAAAATTAACCAATTAGTAGACAAAACATATTGAAAATAAAGCAGCGACTGAAAAGATAAGAGAAGAAAAATTAAAAAAGTGGAAACTGAAAAAACGGAACTAAGCAAAAAAAAAAAAAAAAAAAAAAAAAAAAAAAAAAAACGAATGCTGTAAGTTAAACATTTCCCCCCCCCCTTCTTCCTTAATTTCCGCATCGATGTTTTACAACTACGTTGTCATAGAAACCTCGTTCATGATCTTGTTGTGGTTGTCATAACAACCAGCTTTTGGCGTTGCGCTCACTGTTGTTGTTTGAGACGCTATATGTAAATGTCGTTTCTGACAATCATAAAGTGTTGATTTGCAAAGGAGTCGATAATTTTAATTAGAGTCGCTTTTGGCTGTTTCGTGTTGGCGATTTCTTATCTGAAAAAAATCCTGATTACAACAACCTTATAACTAGGAATTAAACATCTCAATTTTCRCTTTACTAATCCCATAGCTTATTCAAATATATTGGTTACGACGTCTTAAAGACGCTCACAAGAAAATTCACGTAAAAAATCCTCRCTTCAAAATGTTATTATTATATACGGCACTCACAAATGGCCGTGAAAAAAATTCTTTCGTCAGAAGCCGCAGCTGTCATTTGTTTCATTTTTCAAACTTCGTAATTAATTTGTTTTCRCTTTTAAAATATTGTTTTATAGTCAATTTCCTTGTCCTTTTAATTTGTTTTCAATTTTTTACAGGTTGACCGATATATTGCGCCGGATTACTTTTGTATGATTTCCCGGGAAACTTTGCGAGCACGCAACAAGTTTGTTATCAAATTGAAGAAGCCTACGAAGAGATTTCAGGATTAAAGTTTTATTTTTCAGCTGATATTTGCTTTATCAGTGGGACTGCAGTATTGACTGATTTTAATTAATAAGGTAAAGAAAAAAAAACTGAAGATTGTGCCCCTACAAAACTGAGAAGTCTGCAAATCAATTATACAGGAGAAATATGAGATACCGAAAAAAGAAAAAAATTGCTTGTCTAATATGTAATTGTACATGGGGAAAAATACTTCATAATGTGAGACCAACCACGTTTAAGACACTAATACATTATCAAAGCGTCGCAGTGGCGGATCCAGGATTTTTCAAAGGGGGTTCCACTTTGTTTTCGCCGCATTTTCCAAAAAAGATTTTTTTTTTACTGTGCCTTTCGAACTGTAGCAAATGTAGCGTGAATGTATTTAATAAAAATCCATTGTACGATGCGTTTTCATTTTATTCCATTTATCATTTATTTTATTTCTATTTCTTTTTATGCTTGAGGGGGGTTCCTAGGAACCCATGGAACCCCCCTGGATCCGCCAAGCTATTTAATRCGCTCGTGGTTTAAATTTTTCATCATAARTATGGAAAATGAAATTACAACTCAAATATCCACTCGCAACCCGTTTCATCCATAGTTTTTACAAACATCTCCATTCAGAGCACAAAGAGCATAAAAAACATAAAAGAATAATAAAAAGTAAGTTTTTGCTTATATTATCAAGATGTATCTCTATTTTCAAACATTAAGGTCGAAAGGGATGCCGGTAAAACACGCCCCTTCAGTTTTACCCTTTTAGCTTTTTTTGGCAACTTGCCACGCAGCAGAAAAAAATCAGGCCATGAAAAATGAGAAAGATTGACAATAAATTTGAAGCAACAATAAATGTTTGTAGAACACAAATAAAACCCGCAAACTAACGTGGGAGTAATTAATACGTTGCACGTGACTAAGAGCAAAGAATAGTATGGAAGAAATAACAAGAGAGTTTGAAAGGCCCTTGAAGTACAAGTCATTCAACATTCAGGAACTGTGCCACTGTGCATATAAATACTAAAAAAGCAGACTCGTACCTAGTCCTCTCGTCTCGATTTTTGAGAACCGCGCATTGCATCATGGATGTGCAATCGTAAAACCGAGCGATGAGCCGCTGGATCCGTATCAAGAGGGCGCGGGGAGTTACATACAAGATTGTCACTATGACGTCACATGACATCTATATGACTTCATATTATTKCTTTAAACGTAAAAGAATGATAGACATAAAAGAAAACTCGATTTTTATTTTCTAAGTTATTGAGCTCGTCTGAACGATTCTTCACACTGCATCAATGGTCAGACTTTTAATCTATTTTTGATCTATTTATTGTTTATATATTTGCCTTTGAAAGGGAGGTCAGCGCCATGTTCCTTTGAAAGGTAGGTCAGGGGCGTGGTCCCYGGTCTCAAGGRCACCCTGAGACCCTTCCCTATGAAATACGCCCCTGAGACAATCGGAGACGGTCAATAAGGAGGTAGACTTATAGAATCATAGTTACTATGATTTAAAAAAATTTGTGTATGAAATAAGACAAAACAAAGAATACAGCAATTATCAATATGCTTTTAGTTTATTTAGCTATTATATATATTTTTTTGGTTTTGATATTTTTTTTTTACATTTTTAAGAGAACTTTATCAAAAGCTGCTTACAATGTACACTATTTACATTAGGTTGTCATACTGACATGTTTGTCTGATTATACCTATTACAGTAATACTARTTTTCATTACATAGCAAGGATCCTTTAGAGCCGATTAACACTACGACGTAAGCAGATGGGTCACATTTGACATAAGGATGAGCTTAAGCTTACGTTTTGCRGGTTCACAACCATGATTTCTTARCATAAGCAGAAGAAGCATAACAAATAGGAAAAGTTTGTATTTCCTTATGTTTCTGCTTATGCTTTCTATGGTTCAACATAGCAATTTCCCTTGTGCTTATGTTTATGTTGTAGTGTGAACCGTCCCTTATTTTWGATTGCTTAATTAATCAACACTTTCTTGAACTATATAGGAAATTGATTTGTCATGCTTATGATGACTACACTTAATTGCAAACACTAAAACTTGTGAATACTAAATAAAAACATCACCCCTCCCTCCAAAATCCAAATGTCAATCAAAACCCGCAATAGGCAATGTGCAGCAGCAGCATTTTGCACAGAAAAGCATGATGGTAGTTGATGTCGACCTTGTACTTTTTAGTTTCCAATAAAACACCCCTTCTAAAATGTTTGATTTTCCTAAGGAAAAAAAAATGTTGTTTTGCTGTTTCAATAAAGAAAGCATTATTAATAAATCTTTTAAGGAGATATTCTAGGGACTATACTGATATAATTGTGAGGACTACAACTACCATCATGCCTTGCTTCACAAAATGGCACTGCTGCACATTGACTTCAGGACCCCCTCTACAAAAATAGACTCTTATTACCCAATCCAAAATAAATATACCAAAATGATGCTCCTTCAAGGTCTGTTTTAGTGTAAAGCACACTGTAAAACAGATGATTATGAATTCAAACCCTACAAAACAATGTCAAGTGTAATAGGTACAGCAGTGCATCCATAAAATGATTTTCTAATCATCCTAGTAAATGTAGTAGTTAGAAACAGTGATAAACATTGTGCACTTCTAGTGTCTGTGCTCTAATAGAGTTTCTTTCATTTGACCATGAAAGGTTAGAAAGCCTTATATAGTTAGTGGTAGACTGGACACACTAAATCTCAATCATACCCAGAGGCCGTGTTACTTTTGGTCTGCAGMAAGTTTTTTGTCATTGACCAAAAGTTACACAGGCTCTGGGCATGAGATACACCTGTGAAACAAATATTTCTAATTACTACTAAATAGTGTTGATTAAATGATAAAAAAGGAATATTAAGCATAATTATAGTTGTACTATTTTGTAATGTTTATGTTTCACAGATTAAGTGCATCTGATTCAATTGACCTATACCAACCACAATGGCTTCAAGTAGAGACTAGTGTTTTATCTTTTGTCAAAAACTCCAGCGTTGAACTGAAGCCATGCATTGTTTTGTAATCATTCAAGTTAGTGTGTAATGTGTCTATTCAGCAGACTCTGACGCTTTTTGTTTTTGTTGTTTACCAATTAAAAGACACTATATAAGTGCACTGTCTGTCAAATGAAAGTCRCTCTAATAACAAAACAAGCAATACCAGGAACAACTGCAATGATAGTCAAACCATAAGACAAACATGTCAGTAAGATAACAAACATCAATAATAATATTATATCAYAACAATGAAATAACAATTATATAATATCTGATTGAACAATATACAACAATTTCTACACAAGTCCCGCATGTAGTAGAACATAAAGTTTTTGACAACGATAACAATTTATAATACTATCAACAACTATCAGTCAAACAAAGGAACATTCATTGATGGTCCCTTTGTATTGAACAAAATGGTAAAAACTGGTCTGTGACGTATTATCAAGCATAAAATGCCTGTGCAAATACTTCAATATATTTACCAATTAATTAATGACCTGACATACAATGACGTGCATGGGGTGGAAAATGGTTAAGTGAAATATGAAAAAAAATGCTGTTTAGTGTAGCATCTTCTCAACTTGCTACTCTCTAAGTATTCAGGTAGCCCTTCATGGTTTTGCAAGATCTTATCCGATTGGTTTAYTAGCTTTTGTTAAATAAAAGAAMACAATTATAGGATTTAAGAATGAGGAAGCAATGAGCATTGTTTTATTGCTCCAATTATGAGAACTTGCAAACTACTAGGTACATTATTTAGCACTATTTGGCATAGACCATGTAGTGGCTCTAGGGGAGGGGGGTTGTGGTGTTTTCTCCCCTCCCCTTTCCCCCTTCCCCTAGAGCCRCTACACRGGCTATATTTGGYAAGTTTCTACTTAGCATTTCCCACTCCATGTTGCTACATCTAATTGTGCTGTCATTGAATTGTTTAAATCAAAATTTTATGGCGACAAGTATYTATACACAGACATATTTTATTAAATAAAACCTCAAGGAAAAAGCTATAATAATGGAACATTAACGAGAACAATTTATGATTAAGAAAAGCAAAGTGTAAAAATCCAGGAAAAATAATTTTTTTTGAATCACAAAATAATTTATATATAGCTTTAGTTTTTTTACAGAAAATGTATTCGTATTAAAGAGTGTGAACAAAATCAAGAAATATTTTTTTTACTAAAGGATAATGAGAACGAAAACATACATGTCCAAAATGTTTTTACTTTCTCTTTCTCTGCATTCAACACAAGAAATATTTCTTTTAAGTAGTTAGATATACCTAGACTGCATATTACAGCATAGTTGGAACTCAACGTTTAAAAAATGTTCCTATTATTTTTTGCCCAGTCTAATATTTTGAACCCAATTCWAAGCTGGGTTGGAGAWAACTGGAATTGAGGATAATGGCACAGGTTGTCRTTGTCCTCCATATTTGGATAGAATAGTTGGAATTCAACAATTATTATCATGATAATAGTCTACTCTTATATCAAATAGTTTCCAAAGACTGTGAAAATACCCAATATTCAAATATTTTTCAATCTCTTTCAAGTATAAATTTCTCTTAAAAGACAAGAAAGGTCTATGATTTTTTTTGTATAGAGATAATTTGTTGGCTTATATTAAAATAATTCTCTGTTATAATGGATATGTTTATAGTAAGATAAGCTCTACTGATGAACCACAAAGTAAGGTCACAATATGTGGTTTCTGCAGAGCGGTTAACATGTCATACATTCTCATGTTAGGCAGGTTAATAGTTTAACTATAAGAGGAAATAGTGATTGGTAGCATACTGCAAACTTACAAAAACTCAATGACTCTTGTAAGTGAGAAATGTGTTCGGTTATATTAAAGATAACTATTGTCTGGTATATATTTCATATGATATTTAGGATATTATGTGCTTAGCTGGAGTACTCGCACTAAATCCTTGTAATAAATAGTACTAAATAAATAGTAATCAAAGATAAATCAAATGAAACAAGAAGAAAACAWAGGATTTCTCATTTAATCTTAATTTTAAAAAATGCCACTTAATGTCAGAATATTTAGTGTGAGCACTTAATGACCATCATTTGCATGGCTATACAACTAGCCTATAGTGAAAATTTACAGCCAAAATAAACAATTTGTCAATTGACGACATTCTATTTCAAATTTCACTTTGCTGTTTGTGTAGCAATGAAAACAATGCTTAATAAGACTTTGTAACAATTACAATAATCCTTCTCGGGCTGATGTGAGTACAAAGAACTTTCAAAACATTACTCGTGTCTATCAATTCCAAATTGTACTCAAGCTCATGTGTTTTCTCTACATATGTTGTGATATGAGTCAAAATGATTAGACCGTCTGCATATATTGATGTCAATGGCGACAGTATCAAGAATATTTAAAAATGCTTTTTAAAAGTTGAAGGCAAATATAATTAAACCAGAATTAAACAGGTTTCAGCAAATATTACTATCATTTCTGAAGATGCAGTACATATATTAAACTATGAGAAAATATGATTGAATAGCTATGTATCTACAATGAATTCCATTCTATTAATTACAGCAGTCTGAAACGTGTTTTGACTGGAGATTTTGGTGTCTGAAGAAAGAATTTGTTCTGAACTGGTGATTAACCTGAATACTGACTATTTGACACACTTTAACCCAAGTCAAATTGCTAAAATATCATTTCAAAATTCAGAGGAAACCAAAGAAATATAATACATAAATACGAATTTGAGAGTTCTTACATCTACAGACTAATAATATATGGATTTTTCAGATCTCATCAGTCTTTTTCTAAGCCCACTAGACTTTTTTTTATATAAAATGATTTGCTGTAATTATTACATTATCATATATAACCCTCCCACATAAAGTCGTCAGTTTGGAAATTTGAATAACAGCTAGAAAAGGATATCTACCAAGGCAGCGACAATCATAAAAAGTCATCCACTTTGTTGTATATTTTTACATAATATAATTTGTTCAAAATAATAATTATTCTACATTGTACAATAAAAATAGCTATATCTGACAAGGCGCTAGTGAGGTCATTTGATGCCTTGTTGTGATGTAAGTGAGAATGAAATTTTATAGYRTTYGAGGTGTTTTTGGTGATTGATTTTTCCGTCGTCATGGAAATACTGGATTCACTCACGGAGTGTAACTGGTGATACAATGAATGTGCCAACCTCATTTTTTTGCTGACTTTTTCCTCTTGYYCCTTTTCGATTTTGTTGGACTTTCGGGCATTTTGATAGAGTTTGGCGTGATTGAGTTGTTATTATTGTTGTTGTTATTGTGGATATTATTGTTTGTTGGCGATGGGTTGCTTTGTGTATTGGTATTTGTTGTTTTGAGTTTGTCTGGCTTGGAAGGGACTAAGTTACCATTTGTAGGTGATGTCTTTGCAGTTGTTGAACTATCAAGCGGCTACAAATAAAACAAAGAAGAGAGGATTAACAGAGTTTTACAAGAAACATAATGGGTTATTTCAATGTTTGTCCTTCTTCTACATGAACTGAGGTGCTATTGAGGTATTGAGRTATTTTAATAGCAAATTTGGATGAAAATTAACAAGAAAATATATAAGCGGAGACACATGGTATTTTTATCACCACACATGTGTTGCATGTTGATTGGCTGATTAGAGTGTGTCAATAAGAGGACATGCACACTGTGCTGACAACATCACATTCACACATCCACTCACTTGAAAAAAGAATGATTTTTGACAATATATTCAACAGTAGATTCAGAGAACAATGCCTGYGCCATCTTGAAAAGTGAGACTTGAATCACTATGTCCTGTATGTCCTGCCTTAGAACACATTTCGTAGTTGCTAAGTTAACTAATCTCACATGGATTATACTGTATTATATTAACTTGACTTTAGCTTAGAACMTTTTAATTTCTTTAGGAGTTATAACTTAGTGATTTGAGTCCAACTTTTCAAGATGGCAGATGCATTATTGTTTTCCTAATTAAAACTCCTGATGCATATCTTGTTACAAAAAAACTAAATTGCACAACTTTTGTTTTTTGTATGATCTCTTATTGAAACATGTACAAAACTTTGCAGTGAATCACCATATCCACTAGAGTTTTGAACATTTTATGACATCAAGAGCATGTCAGAGGATATACAACTGCAAAGGTGTGCACTTTGATAAGTTATACTTACAACTGAACCCTTGCTGTTGGTCTTCTTATCTTGCTGCACATGATTAGTTCCCTTGGATTCCACAATCAACCCATTTGGCTTCCCAACAGTATCCACAACACTACTCTTTTTGTCTGTGTCCTTTACATGTGAGCTTGTCAATCCAGGAGACTTATATTCTCCTGTAGAACACTCGACTATATTTTCTGTTCTCGTAGGTAAAAATTCACWATCTTTACTCCTCTTAGATGGTGCTGCAGCCGTTGGACTGTCWACTAATGYTGAGTCTTTATAATTAGAAAGGGAAAGGTCATTTGATAGGTCTATAGTGAGACCACTACTCAAAGCGACCAAGGAATCTGAACTACTTGGTCTTGCGATTACAGAATTCTGTTGATCCTCTTGGCGATACTGTGATACGAAAAACTCAACATTTGATTGTGATCTCGAAAGTGGTCTGACTCTATTCTTTAGAAGACCACTGTCATGTGACCTGTCCATTGGTACATGTCGTGTTGCTACGGTTGCATAAGTGGGTGTYTTTACTGGTTGTTGGTGGATGGAGCAAGGGAGGAGGTTTACTTCTCCCCATTTACTTTCAACCCACTCTCTGTACTGCACAACTTCTTCAGTTACTCGTATGATTCGACTAAGAAGGCTAACAGGAGAAAGTAGAAAAAAATTCAGGATCACAAAGAAATCTGTTACATTAGTTGATAACTTTACAATAATACAGTATTATCATTTACGAAATTCATTAATAATTCATAAGGTAAACACAATGGAAAATCATTGCCATGACCACATCTTTATCTGAGCAAGAGATTTTGTCCTGATTTGCATACCACTTTAATTTCAATTTTCTCTAACAAACGATACTTTATCTTGAATTTTGTTTTTCAAAATATGCTTTAGCTTATGCTGGAATTTGATAAGCAATATAAAATATTCACGTCCGACCTTTGGCTTTAAAACTGCTTGCTTGCACCTTGCAGTTTTATATTCCCACTCATATTTTATATATTACATGTTATTCCATTTTTCACTGTATTATCAGCAAATAAGTTCATAAAGTTTTTAAATCATAACCCTGTAAATTGACACATTATCACCTGACAATCCCTTGAATGCAGATGGGTTTCCTGTATYGACAGTTGTCAATAAGTGGGTTGGCTRTGTTAAAAATGATTGGTGGATATCTCTTTTGCATTGTTACATACCTGTGCTTTTCATTTCCCTCACCGGTAGGGTTAGGAGAGCAGGAAGCTCTGTTCAAAACCAGATAAGCATATTGAAATGCAGATATTGCTTGCATGAAATTATATGAGCTTTTGCCCATGTAATTTCCTATTGAAAAAAAGAAAGAAAGAAAGTAATGAAATGAAAATATGTACACACAAATACAAAACCATGAATATTTTACAATAATAATTATAATATAATGATAATAATTTAACATTTATATAGTGCACGGTCCATAGAAAGATGCTCCCATACGCTTTACAATAATATGATCAATATGATAATAAACAAAAACAACAATAATGAGAAAAATAAAATAAATAATAATAAATAACAAAAATAGTTGAGTAGTTGAGTTTATAGCAGTTGATATGCTTTCTTAAACAATCAAAACCAAGAAGCAATAGTTGGGCAGCCTGTGTTCTATCATCCAAGAGGCCCATTGCTTTTGTGGACACATACCTTCTGTAAATGGATCTTCAATACAGAGTGATGCATTGTAGCCATCATCCAAATCATTCAAAACCTGGTTTATTAAATGAATAAATGGATAAGTTGTCTAACAACCAGGGCCAGTAACTCAAATTGCACAACAAATTGTCAAAGTGAGCTCATTGCTCAAGATAAATGAATTACAGTAAAATTATATGGTGTAAAATTATGATTTGTAGAAAGCCATTTGTTATTAAGTACCACTTCAAACAAAACAAAAATTCCAAACAACTTAGAAATCAATAATTAAAACGTGAAAATGACTGTGAATATGCCTAAAATTCATTGAAAATTTCAAAGAACAAAACACAGTCATCTTTAACTAAAAACCTTGGCCATTCTTACATGTTCCTGTATATACACATTTTCTTAATTCACAATGAATACTGATAATAGTAATAATTATAATAATATACATTGCTTTTAATAAGCTTGAAATCTTTTCCAATATTTCATGATTTTAATACTATGCGTCGATAATTTACACAAATGCACATCAAGTCTAGTCTCCAAAGCATCCGTTTCCAGGAGTTCGCTAACACTCCCATGTTATTTACTGCAATGTATAATCAGCTTATAGAGTCTAGTATACCTCTTGCTTGTTGAAGTAGGATCCTCCATCTCTAACACGTATACCAGCATTGGCATAGTTGAAGTTAACTCCATAYAGCTCAAAAAACTCTATCAATAAAACACCCAGATTGCTTTTCTCAATACTCCTACCATCACCCCTTTCGTGGTGCTGAAAAGAGACAGAAAAAAAACGTTCTCAGTCCTTTGATTCTAAGCAATATTAATTAAGGAATAAAAGACGAAATTCCGTGTTTGATACTCTGATCAAAACACACGGGATGTAGGGAGAGCACGAGAGAAGCGTAGGAAACCACGACGTGTAGCGGAGTGGTTTCCAGCTTTTCGAGTGCTCTCCCTACATCCCAAGTGTTTTGATCAGAGTATCAAACACGGAATTTCGTCTTTTATTTCTTTTCTAAAATTAAAAGAAAACAAGAAATTTTTGACGTGCGCGAGCGTGTTTTGATACTGTAATCAAACATGGTTTTCGACCAATCACAGCTCGCGTAGTATCCTAAATATTTTAGAACAGATAATCTTCTTATAAGAACTAAGAATTAAGAACTAACTTGAAAACCTGAAACTTTTTCAAAACATCTTTTTCAATCAAGTTGTGGAAGCAAGTTGTGCATCATTTGTGTGTGTGTGCAAAGTTGATGAGGACTGACACAAGCCGGTTGCAAGCAATAACAAAAATCATAAAAAGTAAAGTGTCAATGGTGTACCTGGAAAAAGCTGATGACCATAAGGATAAGGCTGTAGGAACTGACACCACCAGTGAACACTTCATTTAGATCACGTTGAAGTAAAAACTGCTTCAGTACAAGAACCAATGGTGGAAGGCATTCATATGTCTCTATATTGTTCTGTTGGAAGGACATATTTTAGTACTTTTTCGTACTAATTTTTGTGAGCACTTAATTTCGTGAATTTGGAACACAAATATTTTGAGAGCATTAATTTTCATGATTTTGAAATAAAAGGGATAAATTTAAGACTTAAAAATCCTTTGTTATTCAATGAGTAGTCAAACAATTATCGATGTACATTCAACATTTACATATAAAGAAGTGAAATGATTAAAGAAATAGAAGTGTATTAAATTTCACATGTAGAATTTACGCGGATCCTTTTTTTGCAGCTTGCAGTTTAAAACGCCCATAAAGTTCTCACGCTCATATTTTATATAATGTGGTACATGTATGGTTTGATTGTTATTCTGAAAAGGGAATAATAACTTACTCTAACAAATTCAGCAGCATTCAGTCCTGCAGAAACATTAAAGCTGATGTCTATTTTAACTTGTGTTTTTTCATCTGTAAGCTTTATGATAGGGACCTGGTTTAAAAAAGACTGTGTTAGTGATAATTCTTTCTTTCTT